GGTCCAAATAGTAAGGCACAACTCTCCAGACCTTAAGGAGATCAATATTTATCTACTCTCCTCGCTTTGCTCACTGCACCACTTTCACCACGCACTGGGAAAATCTGATTGAGGGAGATGAATTTAAGGTAGGGTTCGTTGACGTCACCCAACCGCATAAAGAGACATGCCCATTTTGCTCTTTTCCAGGCCTCGCGTTGGCTAGGGCTAGGGATCTCTCTGGCGATGGTGCTCTGTTGTGCTGTACCGGTGGGCAAGAGAAAACTGCGTCAATTTCAAAAACGATTTTGCAAAATGACAGAACAGCACCAAATGTACTGTCCTTCTGAACCGAAAGTTTTCTGGGAAGTTTGAAAGGTGGCGACGGGCAATTTTGTCCCTTTGAGGAGCCCAGTGGGCAAACGATACTCAGGGGTATATCTGCGCAAATACTTCCTTAACATAACCAATCGCTGGTTCCTTCTCGTCAGGAGTCAGTGTTACTAGTTTTAACTGGTTTCTTGCCGTTATGGAAAAAATATTTGGTATAGCCATTTACCTTTAGGACGTCCGAAACATATTTTCTTTCCTCTGTCTTCGAGTAAAATTTTACTGAGCTACGGACTTTTTATTGTAAATAGAGTGGGAGAGTCGAAAGCGAGGTATTTGTCTGTGAGGTCTATTTATACCTCGTCAGAAACGAGGGCAGCCAATTAGTGAGAATAGAAAAGAACCTTTTGTGGCAACGATTAGATCACCCCTGATGAAGGCACTAGAGGATAGTATAGGAACGAATTTGAATATATCAACAAAGTTGAAATGGTAAATTGGCCACCGTTACGATTATAAAAGCTGACGTTTCGAGCGTTAGCCCTTCGTCGGAGCGAATAGAGGAATTGTGGGTTGTGTGTGCTTTTAAAGGCAGAAAATGGAGCTACGTTATTGGTGGGAACATGGCAACGAGAAAAACACGAATAAATTAGTGGAATGAAAAGCGTTCGTTGATACCTGTGGGATTTAGACTGCCGGTTTGAAAGATGAGCTTTTGTTCAAGAGTTTTACGGCTTTCCGTGCTACCTAAGTGTAAGGAAAGACCGCAGATTGCCATATGTTGCTTAGAATGATTAGGTAAATTAAAATGTCTAGCGACTGGTTTCGATGTGTCCTTGTCATTCCTCTCCACGTCGCGAAGGTGTTCTCGGAATCGGTCACCTAGTCTTCTGCCTGTTTCGCCGATGTAAATCTTTTTGCAATAAGTGCAAGTTATGCAATAGATTACATTGGCGGAGGTGCACGTGAAGTGATCGGTGATCTTAATGGATCGTTTGGGTCCCGATATTTTCTCAGTGTTGTGAATGAAAGGACACGTTTTGCATCGTGCACGAGCGCATTTAAAAGTGCCTGGTTGGTCATTAGTCTGAAAAGAACTTCTGACCAAAAAATTGCCTATGTTTTTGTCGCGTTTGAATGAAATGAGCGGAGGCTGCGAAAAGATAGTGCTTGTCTCTGGATCGTTTTGAAGTAATTTAAAGTTTTTAAGAATGATGGATTTAACTGAGTGGTTGTGAGGGTGAAACGTGAGAGTGAATGGAATGCGGTCGGAATCTTCCTTATGCGACGTTTGTAGTGCTGAATGTCGATCAATAAGTTGGATAGACAGTATCCTATCTCGCAACTGGATATGGAACACAAAGCTAAATTAGACATAGAAATTTAAAAAAATCAACCGTCGTTGTTCACGTTTTGCAGACAACACAAAGTTTGGTCTTTTCACGTTGTTGTTTTGCAGAGATCCATAACGCACGTGCACAGCCACTGTTCTGCTCAATAAACATTTGTTTAGTGACGTTCTCGTTACCGTTGCCGTCGTGATTTTCTTAAACTGCTTGATTTTCTCCGGCGTAACCTTCGTGACTGCTTGACCAAAAGTTACATCCCCCAATTCACCACCTTGGAGGCCAAGCTCGCCGAAGCTGGGTCGAAAAAGAGAATTCCCTGTTTGTGCACTTAAAAATCATATGCCCATAACGAATTTTTTCACCTCACAGGCGGAGTGCTCGGAACTCTCAATTAACTTATAATAACAGAAAATTAGCTGTGAACTTCACATCGACCAGCCCCAATGGAACCAAAAGTTAGTTCGCTAGTAATTAATTTTTATCGACTTCTCGCTTCAAAACGTCCGCTAGACCTCGCCGCATTACTACTTTCTTTCCTTGATCTTCGTCGCTCTTTGCAGCCAGCGAAGCGATCTGTTCTCAAATCAATGATACACTTCACTACACTCTCAGATCCTGCTGGTACCACCCTGGTCTTTTATTTTATACTTATCACAACAGAAGCCAAAGCAATGTAGCAATCTCTTAGCATTCTATATCTTACAAAACAACTCACCAATTACCAAATTAGGAAATAGCGCTTGGTATTCCTTAGTGCTAATAACATTAAGGGCTATGAATCACTATTTATCAATATGATAGCCGGTTAACGGATTATAACCTCAGAGGTGCCGCTCAAATCAAAAACGCACCGAAGTAAGTATGAGTGCTCGTCAGAAACACTTCAATCGTATTGACGGCATAAATCGAGATGACATCGCCAGCTTTGAGTGTAAATAATCCAGCTGCATTTAAAGTAGTTTCATAGCTTCCCTTCCTCAGTGGTTGTATCATAGTAATCCCTTTCCCATTCACACGAACCACGACTCTGCCAACTTTGCGGTAATAAATTTGGGCGTAGATATAGTACTGTCCAAGGATAGGCACAGTCAGATTTCCGTCATGGTACGTCATACCACCCGTAATATGACTGTATGGCGTACTATTCGACCAGTCTTTGAGCTCTGTACGAAATCATATGTACAGATGAAAATGTGATCCTCCCTCGAAAAACTTTTCGCTTCTTATAGACCGACAAATATCCGAACCTGTTTTCGTGCCAAATGGGGGCATATGTCCTCCCAAAATTATCTAACGCGCGGGAAAATGTTCACAAACAGCTTAACGTGAACTGCGGGGGATGATTATCTTACAGAACAAACAACTTCTCAAAACAAATGAAGAAAACAGGACTCGTCTTTTGTAATAACGGCAAAACGTCCTCTCCTCTTGAATAAAATTTTAAGCGGACTATTGTCGAGGCTCGATTACCAGCCGCTGTTCGGGAACCGGAGCCCGCGCTCCTCCCCTAGAGAGCGGCGGAAATCGAGCCTAACTATTATCTCATTAGACGGTTAGTTTCCAAATACCGCGGGAGAAACTCAACGGATATTTCTCAGATATATCTGGA